TGTTGTGTTTGACGAAGGCAGCACCATGCTTGTTGCTCGCGCGTCATCGATTGATCCGCATCAAAGGAGACTAGGCATTGGCTGCTCGATATTTGGAGAATAGGCATTGGCTCGTCGATTTTTCGAGACCAGGCATTGGCTGATCGCCCGAAGCTGCTTCCCAAGGTGGAGGGCATACAAATTGCAAGTGTACCTTTAAGAAATTTTTTAAAAGGCACACTTGATACTTGTATACGCGATGAAATGGAGCACTCCATGGCGATCGCGCCACTGCCAGTGGGACGCCCGCCACAACGAAGGGACATTGATCGCGCCTTTTGAGCGTCGAACTTCCCTCTTCCCTTTCACTTCTCCTCTTCGATTTTAAAAGGCACAAAGTGTTATCTCCCCACATCCTTAAGGGTACTCGCCCTGTATCCCTACGGCCACACAATCGCGAAGCGCTAGTTGGACTAACAACATGCAAACAGAAGCAATCGCGATACGGTGGTTGGACTGACACCGTGGAAATAGAAGGTTGAACACAGTAGCTCCACTCAGGATTAATTTGTGTCTTCTCTCGGGGCAGTTCGAGCTAGCGGCATACGGCGTCGAACAAAGCGCCTTCCTGGGAGTTGGCGCTAGCTATGTCTTCTAGAATTCTTGTTAGGACCTCGCAATCGTAGGACTTCCCGATCTCGAGCAGACGGCCGCGCATAGGATCAAAGACGTCAGCTTTTAGGGCCTTGCGAAACGCATCAAGCTGGGGCCGAGTAGGAAACGCACAGGGCGAGAAGTACTGGTCGTGTAAGGGAAAGAGCTCGTCGATGTCGCATAGTGCACGCAGGGGCCACTGGCAGTGACAACGCAGAGTCCTTCCAAAGCGCTTGTCCAATATCGTCCTACAGTTCACGTGGGCTTGAGGAGCTAAAACAGACCAACAGCATGTCAGGAACTTAGAGCGGCATATGACTGACCGAGTACTCGTCAAAGCCTGTTAATGCCGGCTTGCAGCAAGCGCCATACCGGTACCTTGCTCTGCTAGACCGACCGCTACGCCGTTGGTCGCATGTGCCTCGAGAACAAACAGTTAAGAGCCGGTTAGTATACGGATGAGAGAGGTTACGCAGGTTACCCTAAATTATTATATACGCTAAATAGGGTGAGCCCAAAGGTCTTACGGCCATGATCGACTGTGGGCGGAATCTTCTTTGGGCAAAGTAGTTGGCTTGTTGAAGGGTTAACCCCTCAACGCCCAACTTTTAAAGTATGCTCGTACCTGGTACGACATTGTGGTGTCCGGCAGAAGGTCTTTCTGTTGGTCGGCCTGGTCATCGGCGAACAGTGCATCGTGCTTGATAAGATCGTAGATAAGCTCCCGAGTGCCATTTTCGATGGCAAGTTTTGCCATCTTTTTCGCGTCCAGCTCAGACCCGGCTGGCAAGGTGTTAATTGCTATCAATCAAACGTGCTGGCGTTGGAATCGAATCAGCACATAAACTAACTCGCATACGTAGTGCTACGCCTGAATTCGTGGGAGTTGGCACCAGC